GATCTGAATGCCTGTTTCCCAGATTTGGGATGGTCTCAGCCATGATTTGTTCAAATGTACTTTGTGGACCTATCTCCCTTTCAGCCTCTTCTGGAATCCCAATTATATTCTTCCTTCTCAAGCTACCATTTATTTCCCTAAGCCTTTCCTGTGGGCTCTTGTTTTTATCTTTTTTTCTCAGCTTCTTTTCTTTCCATCAACTTGTCATCTATGTCACTCAGTGTCTCTTCCACTCATTAACCCTAGGAGTTAGAGCATCCAGTTTGGATTGTATCTCAGTTCAAGTATTTTTAATATCGGCCTGATTAGATCTCATTTTGCACTAATGAAGTCTCTAGAGTCCTTTACGCTTTTTTCCAGAACCACGAGTAACTTTATAATTGTACTTCTGAATTTCTGACATCGTATTTAAGTCCATATTCAGTAACTCTGTGGCAGAGAGTACTGCTCCCGGTTCTTTCTTCTGTGGTGAATTCTTCCTTCTAGTCATTTTGTCCAGTGCAGAGTGGCTGTACGAGCGGGCTGAGTCAAAACTATGAACCATAACCTAAGTAAAACAGCCCCTAGATTATTCCGAAGAGGGCAGAGACCAGAAAATAAAAGAAAAAGAACAACAGAACAAAATAAAACAAACGGGTCACTAAAGTGAAAAACAAAATTTAAAATAAAGTAGTAAAAAATTTTTAAAAAGTAAAAAAGAAAAAAAAAAGGGGAGATGGTGGTGGTGAGCAAGTGGTCATGGAGAGAGTATGTAATCTCCCTGAGGGGACCTAAAGGGTGATCCTCTTGGTTCTGAGTGCATTTTTTTCTGTATATTAGAAGATGTTCAATCCCAAATTTACATAAACCAGCAATACTTATACAGAGAACCAGTATCAACCACAAAAACATAAGATCAAAAAGGGGGGCACAATGGGAGGGAAGAGAGAATATAGTCTCTCAGAATGAACCCACACAGTATTCCACTTGGTTCTGGGTGTACTTTGTGTGTTAGAAGACAGTAATTTCCACCATTGTAAAACAAAACGAGACAGAAAAGAAAAAAACAAAACAAAACAAAAAAACCCATATCTCATATTTCTCCCAAAATTAAATTGAGTATGTTGAAGGGAATCCTGAAGTGAAATATATTGTAAAATATGTAATTGTAGAAATATGAAAGTCAAAAAGGAAAAAGTTTAAAAATGAAGAGTTGGAAAAAAATTGTACTTAAGGCAGGAAAGGAGAAAAAATATTGGAAATTTTTAACCTGATATAAAAACAAGTCATAGTGAAAAAAGTAGAAAAAAAAAAAACCTCTCTAGGTCTATATACTATTTTCCCTCAGTCCTGGACCTTTCCAGTGCTGCTTGTTCAGTAAACTTGCTCTTCCCTTGTTCTTCCAGCTGGTCTTCTTTGGAAGATTTGGAGGGATCTGTTGCCCTAATTCTCAGGTGCCTGTGCCTGGGCGGAGATCCCCGCACCCTGCCAGGTGCCGGGCTCAGTGTGAAATATTTATCCTGTGAGGTCTTTGTTCCCTAGAGGCCACGCCTCTCCCAGGTGCAAGGTTAAAAGAAGAGGAAAAAAAATGGTGGCAGCCAGATTTCCAGCTGGGGGAATCAAGAGCTCCTCATGAGTAACTAACTGCAGTCTCCCGGTCCACACTGGCCTAGATGCTCCCCGGGACTGGCGGGGGTGCACTGATCTACACACTTGCCTGGTGCCTAGCAGCAGGAGAGTCCTCGATTTCCTGTGCCCTCCCCGCTTCCACCTATCCCAGGGGGAACAGAGGACAGCTGGCTTTGTCTCCTTTGGCGCCCTCGGATCCAGGGCCCTGTGCCACTGGACCCAAACTCCCAGGAGCCACCTCCCCTTAAGGGAATGGAGGACAGCTGCCTCTGTCCATTGCCGGACTCTAGGGTAAAGGGAACTCTGGAGCTGGTCCTTGTAACCAGGTGGGTTTTCCCAAGTGCACTGGAGGGTTGCGGTGCTTCAGTCCTTTACCAAGATTGGACTGAGGTTTGCAGTGAGCTTTCTCCCAGGAATCCCTCCTCTTATAGTGGCTCCGGGAATCTTGTTGCTTCACTGCCCCTCCTGCAATTCTGCCCTATTTCCCTGCTAAGCACTTTTCAGGCAGGAAAAACTCATGCATGGATTTTTAAAGTTCCTGCTTGTCCAGGGCTGGGCTTTCATGACTCCACTCACCCAGCTTGTCGTGGTTCCCCTCCCCAACTTGATTTATTTTTTATTTTTTTCACCTTCCTACCTTGTTAGAAGTGAAAACTTTTCTCTCTGTACCATTCCAGCTGTTGTCTCTTTACATCTTGGGTTGAATTCGTTGGTGTTTAGGATGTTTTGAAACTTATCTAGGTAAGTTTGTGGGACCGGATGAGTTGAGGACCCCTAACTTCCACCATCTTGCCTCAACCACTTTACAATTTTTAATAAAAAAAAAAATGTAAAGATGTGGGGAAATTGAAACTCTCATACCCTGCAAGTGGGAATGTAAAATGATTCAGCTGCTTTGGAAAATAGTTTGGTGGTTCCCAAAAAGGTTAAAGAGTAGCCATATGACCCAGCAATTCCACTCCTAGGTATATGCCCAAGAGAAATGAAAACATGTCCACACAAAATCTTGTACACAAATATTCACAGCAGCATTTTTCTTAATAGCCAGAAAGTGGAAGCAACCTAAATGCTCATCAACTGATGACTAAATAGACAAAATGTGGTATATTCAGGCAATGGAATATCATTCCACCATAAAAAGGAAAGAAATCCTGATACATGCTACAACATGGATGAACCTTGAAAATATCATGCTAAGTCAAAGAAAGTCAGTCACAGAGACCACATATTGTATTTATATGAAATGTCCAGAACAGGCAAATCTATAGAGATAAAAAGTACATTAGTAGTTGCCAGAGGACAGGGATCTGAGGGTGATGAGGGTGATGGTGAATGGCAAGTGATAAAAATGTCCTAGAGTTACCCTTTTTAACCACAGAGCTATGTTCACACAACTGTGAATATACTAAAAACCACCGAATTGTACCCTTTAAACGAGTGAGTTTTATGATATGTGAATTATATCACAACAAAGTTGTTTAATAACAAAGAAATTTTAGGACAGAAGGAGTGCTTGTCAACATTTCTTGGAAGACTGAGGTAAAATACCCTGTCATATACTCAGAATGCTGTCTTTAGCTGCATTCGTACTTGATGGTGATTATTTCTTATATTATTGAAATGTTCTGTGATGATGGGAAGATGAAAGTGTATAATGCTACTTTATGAAATGTTTCTGGATGGCAATAATCTGGAACGAGGTATCAGCAATGAGAAAGACAGGAAGGATGTATTTCTTGAACAATGTACACAGTGTTCATTTTACTCAAACCTTCACTTTACTCAATATTGCCAACATTTCTTTAGTGAAAAAACAAAGCCTGAGACTTTTTGAGAATTCCAATATAAATGAAAAAGAATGTTTGGACATATTCATTATGTGTCACATAAGAAGACTGACTGCTCATATGTTACCTTAGCAGTGAACAGTAGCTACTTGTTGAGGCCAGGGGAAACTTCTGCAAGGACAAGTCTACAATGTGAAGGTCAAAGAGAAGGTAAGAACCCATGGCAAGGGGCGGTGCTTCCCAAGCCCAGGCAGTATTCTTGAGAGCCCCTGGCAGCACCACGTGCATTCACTTACTAAACACTGCAACAAGGAGAAAAAAAACTCTGCCTACTGTCTCTAAGAACCCAGAAACTTGGTTCAATGACCGTATTTCTTTCTTAACATTTCTGTAATATATATTTTTTTAGATTTTATTTATTTATTCAGAGAGACACAGAGAGAGAGGCAGAGACATAGGCAGAGGGAGAAGCAGGCTCCATGTAGGGAGCCCGATGTAGGACTCAATACTGGGTCTCCAGGATCATGCCCTGAGACAAAGGCAGATGCTCAACCACTGAGCCACTCAGGTGTCCCTAAATACAGATTCTTCAAACTTACTGAGACTTGACTGTTTAAAAATTGGTTAACTGGGCAGCCCAGATGGCTCAGCGGTTTGGTGCTGCCTTCAGTCCAGGGTGTGATCCTGGACACCTGGGATCGAGTCCCACATCAGGCTCCCTGCATGGAGCCTGCTTCTACCTCTGCCTGTGTCTCTGCCTCTCTCTCTCTCTGTGTCTCTATGAATAAATAAATAAAATCTTAAAAAAAAAGAATTGGTTAATTTTATGTCAAAGTAAGACATAATAAATATGTTAAGAATTAAGTTCAAAGTCTAGTAACGATTTAGAAATTTTCTACTTCTTAGTAGCATATAAGCACAAATTATAGTGATGTTTTTATCATGAGGTTTGCAATGATGAAAAAGAAGAGGCAGTACTCAATTGTTGAGGGAGTCTGAAACAGGGCTCACGGGGTGTAAGTCACCGAATCAGGGGAGGTCAACTTGACATCCTATCAAAAGCCCTCAAAAAAAAAAAAAAAAGCCCTCCAGATATGCATACCCTGTAATTTTAAGAAATATGTCTTGAAGAAATACATACATAAGCATATGAAAGATGCAGTAAAAATTCATGTAGCACTATTAAGTGAAAACAGGAACCATCTGGAAGTCTAACGATAAGTAATTTATTAAAAATTGATAAGTTCATAAACTAGATTGTTAGAGAACATTGTTCAGAATATATTACATTTTCAAAACAAATTACAGAAGAATGTGCACACAGACACTGTGATGCATGTTACAGTATATAAGACCTACTACCTAATGTATAAAATTAATGTATTCCCCTCCAAATGGATTTTGGGATAACCCTTGGTTGACCTGTGGAAGTGTGGTTACTGTTTCTCTCTCATATAGATAAGAGAAGAAACAGAATTGTTAGAAAATCAAAACCCAGTTCAGAAATCTAACACAAGATAAAGAACTGACAAAAGTTTGCTTACTTCCTTAGCATTATGAGTACATTTAATAATATTTAGCCATAAGTAAAATACTCATGCTTACCTTAAAAGTCAAGATAATGCTGATAAACAGAAGAATAATTAGGACCAAACAGGTAGGATTCACCGACATGATATCATCTCTGTAGGGAAAATTAGGAGGCTGCAAATAAAAAGTGCCTCATTAGCAAGGCTTATTATTCATTCCAGATTATATTCCTTAGGCATTAACCAGATGTACTTATTAAAAAACAATTAAAGCAGATAGTTCTTATTTAAGACCACTACAAACTTTCTCACCTACTACTACTAATGAAAAAGTGACAGAGTGTTCATAATTCAGGCAGTAATAACTCGTGAAAAGAAAAATCAGAGAAAGATTCAAGAGACCTGAAAATGTAACTCTACCCTCCTTACTGTACAAAAAGTTAGAAGTCAGTATTCTCTCTACACCTGTGACACTTAGATTTTCTAAAAATTGTGGACCACTCTAAAGGGCTTGCACATGGCAAGGAGGGAAAACCTATTAAAATACCATCTTATTTATACAGAGGATTTTTGCTGATGCTACTTCTCCTCAAAAAGCAGAATCTTTACACTAGTAGGCATTTATAGCATTAAAAAAAAAAAAAGAAAGATCAAGTCCTACCATCTGACCAGATTGATTAACTACTAGGTCAAAGGAAATCTTTTTAAGGAGGATCAAAGCTGACTCCCATGGTTGGGTGTGGTGGGACTTCACCGTGAAGACCATGCACAGTGCCTTGGGAGCCTTCTACTTCGCCAGCTTGGGTCAGCATGCGTGGACGGCAGCCCAGGGTGCCACGTCCCCTCTTATCTCTTCCTTAGCATCCAATACCATGTGTTTGGATTCCACATTAGCAATATTTTGAGATATAACAAAGAGGTTCCAAATATTAAAGAAGAATATGAGAAAACCCAAGACTCATGTGCCCAGTTCCTCCTCCCCATGGTGAACATCACCCAGTGGTTTTTCAGCCGCCTTTCACTTTGGGCAAAATATCCAAGAAATAAAATCTGAGTCAGTCTTTGTCATCAGCTCCTGAAACCTGTCCCTACCCTTAGAGACTGGAAAGGTGTTTGTAGTGCTAATCTTAAAGGTAAGAATAAAATAAGTTAGTGTTATTCATAAGACCAACATAAAATCATACTGTTTCTGTCTGATAAAAAAAAAAAATTAAAGTGGAAGTAGGTGACTCCTTTCACAAAGATCTTCACACTTCTTCCCCCAGAAACGTGGACATGGTTTCTATGTCCAGTCAAGACATATAAAACACACACACAACTTATTTTAACTGCATTTCACAAGACTCTGCATGAACAGAACAGGCATTAGAATGAAGTGGGTGCTCTCCTCCCACCTTCCAGATAACAGTCCCTCCAGACTGTTAAGTCAGCTCATCAGCGAGGCTTCACTGTCTGTGGAGTTTTAGGTATCCACGCCTTGGACTCAGACTGATTTTTAAGTAGAACATACTGAAGACATTCACCTGTATTACTTGGTTTGTAATTAAAAATAAAAGAAGGTGGTGATTTTTTTTACTGACATTATGCTTACTTTCAGCGTCACCAGTATTATTTTGCCACTGGTGACTCTAGAGCAAATAAGTACAAAACGCTTAAACAAAGTCAAGGTGGTATTCTGAGGATTCTAAATGTTTGCCTGCATGTTGCATGCTTTCCGCTTCTTATAAGTCTCTGCACTAAACAGGATGGAGCAAACAACACACTCTTCAAGTAGTCGCAAGGCTGCCATATGGCTTGTCTGAGCATCTCCTAACCACCCTTTCCCCACCCCTCACTTGATAGCCTATGTCGAGGTCATGTTTCCTCCACCCTTCCAAGGTTGATTTTAGAAACTTGGCACTGGGTCAACCTTACAGAATTAAAACACAAGTCCTTAAAGACAGAGGTAATTCTTTTTTTTTTTTTTAAAGATTTTATTTATTCATAGAAACACACACACACACACACAGAGAGAGAGGCAGAGGCATAGGCAGAGGGAGAAGCAGGCTCCATGCAGGGAGCCTGATGTGGGACTCGATCCAGGGTCCCCAGGATCAAACCCCAGGCTGCAGGCGGCGCTAAACCGCTGCGCCACTGGGGCTGCCCAAGACAGAGGTAATTCTATAAACTGCTCGTCACACAGAAACCCTCTCATGCAGAAACAGTCAAGCTATACAAGAAGAGAAAATATATATATAGTCAGCTCATGGGAAATACACACAGCCTTTTCTTGACACTATAGGCTACCAAAACATGGACCTGTTTTCTAAAACAAAGAAAAGCTGTTACTAACAGCTTAAGAATGACAACCATTGTATACATAAACCACATCTTCTTTATCCATTCATCTTTCCATGGACACTGAGGCTCCTTCCACAGTTTGGCTATTGTGGACATTGCTGCTAGAAACATCGGGGTGCAGGTGTCCCGGCGTTTCATTGCATCTGAATCTTTGGGGTGAATCCCCAGCAGTGCAATTGCTGGGTCGTAGGGCAGGTCTATTTTTAACTCTTTGAGGAACCTCCCGACAGTTTTCCAGAGTGGCTGCACCAGTTCACATTCCCACCAACAGTGTAAGAGGGTTCCCTTTTCTCCGCATCCTCTCCAACATTTGTGGTTTCCTGCCTTGTTAATGTTCCCCATTCTGACTGGTGTGAGGTGGTATCTCATTGTGGTTTTGATTTGTATTTCCCTGATGCCCAGTGATGCGGAGCATTTTCTCATGTGCCTGTTGCCCATGTCTATGTCTTCCTCTGTGAGATTTCTCTTCATGTCTTTTGCCCATTTCATGATTGGATTGTTTGTTTCTTTGGTGTTGAGTTTAAGAAGTTCTTTATAGATCTTGGAAACTAGCCCTTTATCTGATATGTCATTTGCAAATATCTTCTCCCATTCTGTAGGTTGTCTTTTAGTTTTGTTGACTGTATCCTTTGCTGTGCAAAAGCTTCTTATATTGATGAAGTCCCAATAGTTCATTTTTGCTTTTGTTTCTTTTGCCTTCGTGGATGTATCTTGCAAAAAGTTACTATGGCTGAGTTCAAAAAGGGTGTTGCCTGTGTTCTCCTTTAGGATTTTGATGGAATCTTGTCTCACATTTAGATCTTTCATCCGTCCACAATAGCCAAACTGTGGAAGGAGCCTCGGTATCCATCGAAAGATGAATGGATAAAGAAGATGTGGTTTATGTATACAATGGAATATTACTCAGCCATTAGAAACGACAAATACCCACCATTTGCTTCAACGTGGATGGAACTGGAGGGTATTATGCTGAGTGAAGTAAGTCAATCGGAGAAGGACAAACATTATATGTACTCATTCATTTGGGGAATATAAATAATAGTGAAAGGGAATATAAGGGAAGGGAGAAGAAATGTGTGGGAAATATCAGAAAGGGAGACAGAACATAAAGACTCCTAACTGGGAAACGAACTAGGGGTGGTGGAAGGGGAGGAGGGCGGGAGGTGGGGATGAATTGGTGACGGGCACTGAGGGGGGTACTTGACGGGATGAGCACTGGGTGTTATTCTGTATGTTGGTAAATTGAACACCAATAAAAAATAAATTTATTATTAAAAAGAAAAAAAAAAGAATGACAACCATAACAGTGACAACTGAACTTACTCTCATGCTACGTCTGCTGAGTACTAGATATATGATTTAGGCATGACTGCCATAGAATCACAAACTTCTGCTGCTATATTTCCTTTCCTCCTTCCATGCCTCCATCTCTCCCTTTTCTACTGAACTTCTTAGTCCCCATTGTCACATGGGTTTGAATCCAGAAAAACCCTGCTCCCACCCCCAAGCCCACAAACAATGCAAATCTCCAAAGAGTGAACATTCTCTCCCTTTCAAACATTCTAAGATTCTGGAGAAATTAAATTTTAAGGCACATTCACAGTTTTAAAAACAAAGGTGAAAAATGTAAAGAAACAGAAGTATTACACACTCTACAAACTTCTGAATATCCAGTTAGCCACATTTGCTCAGATGGTCACAAAGAACATTCAACAGAAAACTAGCCCCAAAAAGATCCAAGAGGAAGAAAGGGGTTCTATGGTGAAATAAGTTTGGGAACCATAGTATAGTACAGTTCCATTTTTTCCATACAAATGGCAGAGGCAAAAAACTACCCTCTGCTAATAATTGGGCAAACTATGCTTTACAAAAATACGATTAGTAACTAGCTTATAATTTATGGAGGTGTATCTAACACAGTCATCACAGCTCCTGACTTATCTACCTCAGAAGGTTATGTTGTCCCAAAGCATTCTAAGAAACCCAAAAATCTTATCTTTAAACTGGTATTCAAAAATCTCTAATCAGTAACTCAGATCCAAGTGGAAAAACCCACAAATTCATGTGTGTTTGTGTATGTTGAGTCTAGATCCCTGACTTGTAGATTATTACGCTCATGAAGGGAACAGTAATCAGAATGGCCACATACCAGCTGCCGAATATATTCCTGAATGGAGTATGGATAGACAAGCACAGTGACAGCAACCAAGGTGTTGAGGGCGAAGTCAAAGATCTGGTAACAGAAGAATGGGATGATCCACGCTGCGCGTTGCTAAAGAGGAGAAACAAGATGATGTTAATGTGTTCAATATCATAAAATATTATTTTTTTGCAATTCAGACAAATCCTTTCTTAATCTGGAGGAAATTGGAGGACAAGAAATTCAATAAGCCAGGTCATGATGACAATTGGTAAGCCACACAGAGGGTCACTAAACAAGCCTCAGTGAACATTTCTGAGACTATAGCAATGGTTTTACACATAATAAGAGATTTATTTTTTTATTATTTTATTTATTTATTTGACAGAGAGAAGGAGAAAGAACACAAGCAGGGGGAGTGGCAGGCAGAGGAAGGGGAGAAGCAGGCCACCCCTGAGCAGGGAGCCAGATGGGGGGCTCGATCATGACCTAAGCCAAAGGCAGATGCTTAACCAACTGAGCCACCCAGGCACTCCTTAATAAGAGATTTAAGCTCCCAAAGGTTCTTAGAGGAAACTGAGAATCATCACTTCTTCTTTCTTATAAAGTATAAAGGACCAAGGAAAAGGCTCAGCCTCTTCTTTCAAAGCCACTTACCTTGTATGCTCCATAAGTGGCCATGGCACATATTAGGATCATGAGAAGAGAAATTGCAATCGCAATGCACATGTCTGCCAAAAGGTTAGGAAAGAAAAAAGAAAATCAGTAATAAATCCACTGTTTTAACAATTTTCGTCTCTCTTCAAAGGCATTTTGTTTAGAAACCAATTATAAGCAAGAACTTTGGATTAAGTAAAACCGGGAGCACTTTTGGAATTTGAGAAAATGATACTTAATGGATATAAAATGTCCAAAAGAAGTTCTCCCTAAGTCATATAAATATCTATAGATAACACACTGACTCGCATATAAGTTTATTTTGAAAATGGGAAAGAGAGGGACGCCTGGGTGGCTTAGCGGTTAAGCATGCTGGAGTCCCAGGATCAACTCCCACATCGGGCTCCCTGCATGGAGCCTGCTTCTCTCTCTGCCTCTCTTTCCCTGTGTCTCTCATGAATAAATAAATAAAATATTTAAAAAAATGGGAGAGAGATATTGAGATGTTAAAAAAAGTTTGGTCTTCTGAATCCACTGAATTAGATATATAATAAATTAGATATTTTTAAAATGTGAGTGCCTAACTTGTATTTTACAAATTCATGTGTGTTTTGTTTGTGCTCCTATTAAAACCCTCCTCTGGCTTCCCATTTCACTTAAAATAAGACCTCAATTTCTTAGCCTTTACATCTGCAATTCTTCTAGAGCATGCCTACCTCCCCAATCTCATCTTGTACTTTTCCGGCTTCCTACAACCCAGTCATATCACTTGGTTTGCTAAGTACAAGGAGAATTTCCCATCATAGGGCCTTGCATTTGCAGTTCCCACTGACTGGAGACAATGTCACTCACGTTTTCACAGAAGTAAGCATTTTTATTTGTTTTTTTAAAGATTCTATTTATTTGAAGGGAAGAGAGAATGCGCATGAGCAGAAAGGTGAGGTGCATGGCTGAGCAGGGAGCTGGATGGGGGGCTTGATCCTAGGACCTTGAAATCATGACTGGAGCCAAGGCCAATGCCCAAGCTCAAAAGAGTGAGCCAGCCAGGCGCCCCTAACTCCTTTTCGATCATTCAGGCCTCAGCCCAAACATCCACATCTCCAATAGCTCTTCTCTGAGTATTCTAGGTAATGCAGCCCTTCCAATTCCTCCCATGTCAATGCCGTATTTTTCTTTATAGCACATATCACTACTATCTTACTTATATCTGTTGCACATTAGCTATCTCCTTCTGTTACAGGAAGCTTTCTGAGGAAAAGAACTCTATCGTGTTTACTACAACAACCCAACATATACAAGATGCCCACTACAGCAGCCACTAGCCACACGTGAGCACTGAGCACTTGCAATGTGCTCAATCTGAATTGAGATGTGCTGTAACATTAAAATCTACTACTCCAGAATTCAGTACCAAAAATATGTAAAACAGCTCATTAATAATTTTTATACTGATTGCATGCTAACATATATTGGATATACTAAGCTAAGTAAGATAAATTATTAAAGTTAATTTTACCCCCTGACTACCTTTTTAAATGTGGCTTCTAGGAAATTTTAGATTGCATATGTGCTTGCACTCTATTCCTATTGAACACTGCTGATCTAAAGCAATGCCTATTATCACTGTTGGGACTAAATAAACGATTATTCAAGAGGTCATGTTACTACTATATCTTTAGAGATTCAGATTAGTACATATGCTTGGGGTTCTAGTGGGAGGTTCTCACTAGCTAAGAGAGCACAAAATTCCACAGAGTTAAGTATCTCTACAGTGCTGACACCGTCTGGGGCACTTCACAGACACTTCATTTAGTGCTCCTAACTCTGAGACAGATGTTGTTCCCACTGAGCAGACTGCAAAACTAGGCTTGGAGGTTATGTAACTTGCTGAGACAGTATTTGCATCAAAAGGCTAAACCATGACTGCTCTGGAGATTTCAGATCTCTGGCTCTTTCTGCTAAGACTCTGCTGCTCCAACTTCAGCTTTGACTACTGACCAGCCTGTCACTTTCAAAGTGACAGGCTGGTTCCACTTCTAGAACCATCCTTTGTATCCTCAGCTTTAGAGAATGAGGACATTTTAAGTAGGAGGTTTACATAAAATGCAGATATATCAACAAAGACCATTTGCCATCTTAAGAAAAAAAATGAAGGTTGCTAAGATTAATTTACAGATTCAGAGCAATCAATTCATAATGATGCTATGACTTTTATTAAAGGAGTGAAAATTTGATTCTCGGGATGCACTTCCAGCAACGGTGGTTCGAGTGGCCGAAGCAAGATGGGTCAAAGTCAGAGTGGTGGTCATGGCCCTGGAGGTGGCAAGAAGGATGACAAGGACAAGAAAAAGAAATATGAAGTTCATGTACCAACTAGAGTGGGGAAAAAGAAGAAAACAAAGGTACCAGATGCTGTGAGCAAGCTCCCACTGGTGACACCTCACACTCAATGCCAGTTAAAATTATTGAAGTTAGAATTAAAGACTATCTTCTCATGGAGGAAGAATTCATTAGAAATCAGGAACAAATGAAGGCTTTAGAAGAAAAGCAAGAGGAGGAAAAATCTAAGGTATGGATGATCTGAGGGGGACCCCAATGTCAGTAGGAACCTTGGAAGAGATCATTGATGACAATCATGCCATCGTGTCTACATCTGTGGGCTCAGAACACTACGTCAGCATTCTCTCCTTTGTAGACAAAGATCTGCTGGAACCAGGCTGTGCTGTCCTGCTCAACCACAAGGTGCATGCTGTCATAGGGGTGCTCATGGATGACACGGATCCCTTGGTCACAGTAATGAAGGTAGACAAGGCCCCCCAGGAAACCTATGCTGATATTGGGGGATTGGACAACCAAATCCAGGAAATTAAGGAATCCATGGAGCTTCCTCTCACTCATCCTGAATATTATAAAGAGATGGGTATAAAGCCCCCAAAGGGGGTCATTCTCTAGGTCCACCTGACACAGGTAAAACTTTATTAGCCAAAGCAGTAGCAAACCAAACCTCAGCCACTTTCTTGAGAGTGGTTGGCTCTGAACTTATTCAGAAGTACCTAGGCAACAGGCCCAAACTTGTTCAGGAATTGTTTCGAGTTGCGAAAGAACATGTACTATCCATCGTGTTTATTGATGAAATTGATCCCATTGGAACAAAATGATACAACTCAAATTCCGGTGGGGAGAGGGAAATTCAACAAACGATGTTGGAACTGTTGAACCAGTTGGATGGATTTGATTCAAGGGGTGATGTGAAGGTCATTACGGCCACAAACCGGATAGAAACCTTGGATCCAGCACTTATCAGACCAGGCCGCATTGACAGGAAGATTGAGCTCCCCCTGCCCAACGAAAAGACTAAGAAGCGTATCTTTCAGATCCACACAAGCAGGATGACGCTGGCCGATGATGTGACCCTGGACGACTTGATCATGGCTAAGGATGACCTCTCTGGTGCCAACATCAAGGCCATCTGTACAGAGGCTGGTCTGATGGCCTTGAGAGAGTGTCGGATGAAAGTAACAAATGAAGACTTCAAGAAATCTAAAGAAAATGTTCTTTATAAAAAACAAGAGGGCACCCCCAAGGGACTGTATCTCTAGCAGACCAGAGCTACCTTCAAAGAGATGGTTGGGCATGTCCTGACCCCTCCGAGGGATGAGGTGGGGGAAGCCCCCAGAGGAAACCATGTTCCAGTTGATCTTTCTTAGTAAAACCTCCCATGTACCTTTTTGCATGTGATGTACAGGACACCCCTTGGGCTGCCTTCATCTGTGGGTCACATGCAGTGCTCTGTCCCCAATAAAGCGTGCTCCCTCTCCAAGAAAAAAAAAAAATTTCCAAAATTTTCTCAAAAAAGTAAAAAAAAATCACTTGGGGGTGATAAAAAATATCAAGATTTCTTTCAGGATAAATACATATGTTGCTATTTATAATTTTAAAAAATTTTATATTTATTCATGAGACACACAGAGAGAGGCAGAGACACAGGCAGAGGGAGAAGCAGGGAGCCTGATGTGGGACTCAATCCCAGGACCCGGGACCATGACCCGAGCCGAAGGCAGATGCTCAACCCTCAGCCATCCAGGTGTCCCTGTTGTTTATATTAATGCTAAATTAACTTACCTTTTACCTCTTGTGAGGAAAAGAGGTACCTACAAGAGAAGTTCACTTATGCCTCATAGTATTCTTGCAGGATCAGTGGGAAGAATAAACTTGAATGCATTTTCCATGCAAAACAAAGGCCAAGAGACTTAGCTCCTTAGAACAAAAGGAAAGTCTCTCTACTCAGAGGCACATATATAAGTACACATGAATGCATTCTCATGCCATAATTTGCATACGAAGCAATGAGGGTTATCAGGTTCTTTGTTCCTACAGAAAGCAATGACCACAGTGGAATGCCCATTGTCTGCTTTGATTTTCCCCATTTATATGAGTGCTTTCTTTTCTCAATTAACTGGGTACTGCGTTACTTCATTTAATCCTTATGACAACCTTAGAATGAATCCTTAACCTAAGAGTTAAGTACTATGACTAACCCCATTTTAGATAAGAAAAAGATAACTAAGATAAGGCAGGTAGCTTGTCCAAGACTGTCCACCTGGTAAATGATAGATGGGATATTCTTCCCAAGAAGTCTAACCCAGAGTCAATACTCTTAGCCAGTATGCTACCCCACTGGGAAGGAGGAAGATCACATGCAGTAATGCAGGTCAAAGTGCTGAGAAAACCACACAGCCTCCCTAAAAGGTACTGGAGATCAGTAGGTACTTGCTATGTGCAAAACCTATTAGAATTGATAGTAATCTCAGGCAAAAGTTTATTATTTTCTTGTCAACTCAGACAGTTTCCAAATTCTGTACAAGCATATTTTATAATGAGAAAAAAATTAATTTAATGGAACCAGGCCATTTATAGGATATTCTTTACTTCACAGGTCTTAAAAGAGACAGATAGGTAGACAGACAAACTCAAAGCTGTATTTTAAATTTTTAAATATTAATATAACCTATGAAAATTAATATTACCTGCATATCCTATTCTGAAGTAAAAAGAAACTCCAGGACTAAATCTC